TGCTACATGCAGATGAGGAATCAAGTAATATAAATATGGCATCTTAACTTGCAGTCAATACATTTTAATCAGTGCTTATTTGCCCAATCCTCCTTTTGACCTTCTGGAAAAAACAGACACACCCACAAATATAGGCCCGCAGTAGGGTGAGGGATACAGACATTTCCTGGGGAGGGCTAATCTCCAGGACTCCTATTTTTGTCTGCATTTATACATTTTTTCCTCTTTATACTTCCTGGTGAGGAGGGACAAGGAATGCCTCTTACATTTAGGAACTTCTTTCTTTGGGGTAAATATGGTACCTGATATTTGCAGTGGAAGGCCCCACCAAAGGCCACGGTCCTGCAGCAATGGCCATTAAAGTTTACTAAAGCGAAAACAAAGCAACTATTCTCCCAACCCAAAAAAAAAAAAATTAATAAATAAAACCAGGAAAGATGATTTCTGGTTGTGGTGCAAGAGGCTGGGGGAGATCTCTCTCTCACTGGTTTCTTGCCCCAAATGCTCTGTGCTGTGTCCTCACTGCAAATAACAAACTGTAACCCACGTTTTTTCTCAAACGGTTCAAGTGAGCGCATTACCTGCTACCAGTAATACGGTTAAGTGCTACAGCTTCATTACAGTAACCATCTGCCTCTTTTCAACTGCTCTTCAAATTCCAAGCACTCCCTTGAATGGGAAGCCACTTTTGTCTTCAAGGGCCATGCAATTAAATAAATTCTTCCACAACACTTTTACTGCAATCAAATCAGTATAAAACTGCTAAACACAAGTGTCAAGGAACTCCTGCCTTGAGCACAATGCCATAAACACCCAAGGGTAGCACTCTGATAAAATATGTTACTGAATTTCCAATTCAATTACATTTTATGGCTTCGGGGCCTCGCTTCTTCTAGCTTGGCTCTGAATCCTTAACTGCTAGATATATTTTGGAATGCTCCTCACACAACCCTCCCCCCTTAAGACTACATTAATTTAACCAAACTAAAACCTAGTTTATATCTATATAAAGCAGGTAGAACATTCTGAAGTTGTTTCTTTGCCAGATCAAATGCCACCTTGTGCCATGCAGACTTCCTGAGTCTACCTTGATCTCTACCCTTATAACATATATTTCATGTTATTAGTTAATTGTTGTTGTTATTTATTAATATTTATTAAATGTATATGCTGCCCGACTCCTAGTGACTCTGGGAGATTTATAGTAAGAATGTTCCCTTATTCTGATTTTAAAAATGCTTCCTCACTTTATTCAGAAAAGGGGGCAACCCAAGGAAAGGTGACGCTGTAGTACGCAACTCAGAGTTTACCCATTTAAATGGTTGAGTCTTCTTTCAAATGGACCCACACTGATGCGTAAGTTACACTAGGAAAGCGGAGTTAATCTTTGTTGCAAACCTTACAGGAGTCCAAATTTGAAAAGCGCAGCCCTAAAGGATGGGTAGGGAGGAACGGGGCACCCTCAGGGTTTTCTGCATTTCCTCCCCCAAGATGGAAGAAGTGAAAGAATTAAAGCCCCTTCCCCAGGACCCTCCCAGGCCAATTCCCCTCAGCATCGGAGGGAAACCAGCAGCTACGAGGCAGAACAGGGAGGAACTGCGCTTCTCTAAAGTCCTCCTGACCCCCAAGCCAACTATTAACCGACATCAGCTCTGGAGCCACAACAGATTCATCTGCTCCCATGTGTTCTGATGGGAGAGAAGGTGTTAATTTAGAAAACGACATGGAAAGGAAAGAACGCCGCTCCTCCCTTGGCAGAGCTTGGAGCTTCATTTATCTCTCTGAGGCTCTGATGATGGAGCTCCTGGGGAAAAATAGCAGGAGGAGGACTCTGCTTAATTAACTGAATGTTTCTACGGTCAGCGAGAGCTTTTTCCTGACATTTCCTGATTCCATTACTTACTCAAGCAAGAACGGAAGAGGACGCTTTGAAGGCTGAACCGTCTACTGCAGATCTCTTGTTTAAGTACTCGGTCTGCACTTCCAAAAACGCTCCATTCTCCTTCTTTGAGAAGTTGACTTTTTACTGTGGCTCGGCGCTGAGCATCAGAAAATGGGATGCTGCGTCCTTCATCTGTGGTTGCCTGTTTCCCACCAACTGGTCTGAGCAACAAGGGAGGCGATTTTCATCGGGTTCATGGGAATGGAGGCTTCCCTTCTCTCTCTCCCATTCCAATGAAAATTGTCCCCTGTGCAATGGAGCGGAGATGCAGGGAAGGCTAAACCCACCCTCAATTTCCATTGCTCGGTTGATCGGTGGGAAAGTAGTCAGAAGCCACTTTACATCAGATAGTAGGCTGTTTCTATGTAGCATGAAAGTAATGAGTACGAGATAGAGAAATTGGCTTGGGGACCATCTGCATTCAATTTTCCCCAGTCTTAAAAAGAGGAATTGATACTCTGAAATTCTGGTCCCTAATCTAGCCGAGCACTTCTGGTTGCAATTTAGCCAAGTCAGATTACTAACTTTCAGACTTATTAAGTTTTTAAAATATCAACATCCCAATTTCCCAAGTGGCTTACAACATTAAAAAAACAACAACCAGAACTGATAGCGGCTGGAAATTCTGAAAATCCAACTACGTGCTGGAGAAGGGGATGGCACACCGCATGTTTAAATGGATTTACTTATTTTGGAACGGTGTGTTTTTCTGAAGGAATTGGCCTCCCCCACGGTATGCGTGATAGATAATATTTTTAAGGCTGGCAGCACCTTACATCTGCATTGGTGCTGTATTGATCTGGCATGGTTGCCAGTTTACCATGCCAGAGCTAGTACAGAGTGGATAGCCTATAACTCAAAAAATCAGTAATTGTCAAAGACTAAATGTTCAGACCTGAAGAGGTTTGTAGATTTCAGAAATCTACAAATGTTCAGACATGATTTGTAGCACCTTCAGAAAAAGGGAAGAGAGAGCGAGGACTTCAATATGACTAAGGCCGCTCCTGAGTCTTTAGCAATATTCCTTGAATTTTGCTCCATAACCAATATGATGTAGTGGTTAAGGAGATGAATTAGGATCTAGGAGATCCAGGTTCAAGTCCATCTATAACCATGGAAGGTCACTGAGTGATTTTGGGCCAATCACTTTCTCCTAGCTCAAGCTACCTCACAGGGTTCCTGTTGTGTGGAGAAAAATAAAGGGAGATCCTGTGTGAGCAGCCTTGAGCTCTTGCAAGCAAGGCTGGATATAAAGCTAACAAATACGTAAATATTTGAGCTGTATGCGTATAAATCCTTTACTCGGCGTGCATCCTATTCTACAGTGCATCCAGCAGGCATCACAAATTTCCTGGCTCTGCCATCTTTTATTTGTGGGACCATATTGGGAACACGCTTCTGTTTTCTCTAATGTCTGCCTGAATTCAATCTGCGCTATCTTGTCAAAAACATCTGGGTCAATACTCATGGGGTCACTTTAATTTTGTTACCGGGAGTCTCAAAATGTGATTTCCTTTTCCTGCGAGGTCATCAATGCTTAATGCTTTTGCAACACTCACTGTTAATGGAAACCGTCTGGAAAAAAACCCTGGTCCGCTGGGGTGGTGATGTCAGCAGCTCAGAAAGAGTTCTTCCCTTGAGAACAGGCATCTACTCCGATTAGAAACCAGTTCACGGACAGAACATTGGAGCCACCAACTCTGCTGAGTTATGCTAAAACAGCCCCTTTCTCTTTCTGAAATACTCTTCCACAAATTCCAGAAAAGGGAGTTAGCTTTTAAGGCAACTGTGGACGCCCTGGTCACAGGGAGCTGTTTTTTTTTTTTTTTTTTAATCCCAGACTAAACTATTTAAAATGTGTTTATTATTAATTCATTATTTATTAAACCAATTTGTATAGCGTTAGTACATTAGATCACTTGAGTCTTGGTACAGGGAGAGCAGGGAGCCAGCCGTTATATTTTGCATTGCATTTTGCTGGGCTGCTAATTACTAGAGTTTCTCAGGTTAAGTTCCACTTCAACAATTTTCCGGGCTTTCTCTTATTTTATATGTCATTGATTGTTTTACGCTGTTTAACTGGATTTACTTTTATGAGACATTCAGTATCTACTCAAACTCTTGTTCTTATGCTGTGGATTAACAAGTGTGCAAGGGCGATATTTTTATAAGTAAAGCCATCAACAGTAGCTTAGTGCAAGTTATCACTAATTGTGCAAGGACTTAATTCATGAGTGCCAACTGTACACTGTATCTAGAGCAATAATAAATGTGCATTTTTTAAATCAGGCTTAGCTTTAGTCTTGGATGTCCAAGCCTCTAATTGCTCTCAGGTCCCAAAGATCAAGAGAAGAGGCCAGTTATTATCAAGTAGTTTCAACCCAAGAAAAACACCTCAGCACGTCTGAGCAGAAGTGAGTCGGGCTGGGATCAAGGGCTTTATGGAACCCAATTGACCTGTTCTGTTAATTTTGCCAACTGAAACTCTACTTGCTGCTCTGTAGCTCGGCAATCCTTTGTGGTGGTGGTGAAGTTCAGAAGAGAACAGATCAACCATTTCCTCCTTTGGGCAAAGTGATAGAGAGGAAAGGGAATATATTTAACTTCTCCTAAATCCCGTTCTTATTCCCCCCACCCCTGCTTATATCTCAACAAAAATGCTTCAATTCATCCATGAAAAGCAAATGCATGCATTTGAGACTGAAAAGTGATATGGCTACATTGAACACTGCACTGGTCTCCTTCTGAAATCTTGCCAATAATTTCAATCCTTGCAATCAATGTTTCCTTTTAACAGAAGAAGGCAAGAAGCTTGATGGATCTGGTTAAAGATCTCCTTACTAGAGGTGTGCACAAAACTGGATCCAAAGAGGAAAGGTAAATCAAGGGTGCAGAGGTGCATACATCACACCTCTCAGCAACTTTTATTTTTGCAACAATGGTAAAGCAGCAGGCTAGCAACTGAGTCGTGGCTCATAAAAATTCCGACCACTGCTAGTACTAGTATTGCACAAGGCACAAAGTTAAATAATGATTTTTTAAAATTTTTTTTTTGCAGAATCCCTAGCAACCTCTCATGGAACCGCAGGCTTCCACAGAACTTAGGTTGAGAAAGACCTGGATGGTTAAATGCTTCACTCTCCCATTTCTTAAATGATGGATGATTTTCTAATATGAAACAGAAGAAGGCTGTAGATGTTTGAGAAAACTTTGGTGGCAGAAGGCCGGAATGTCTGTTTCTCCATTTCTCCATTCCATCCATACTATAAAGAGAATAGCACCACGTAAGCTGAAATCGCAACAGACACCCCACCCTAGGGAATGGCTGCCATTCTTTTCCTTTAAAAAAAAATCTGAAAAAGACAGAAGGCAAAATCTTCATCCAAAAGCCCAACTTACAGAGACTTTGAGTATGAAGGACTTCCCCCCTTCCCAGCACTTTTTAAAAATTCCAACCACCAGAACTCTGAACTCACTGAAATTACGTTTTTCCAACAATGATAAATATTTTATCGACCAAGCCAGCTGAGCAGAACCGCACAACATCAACGTCAACAGCCAAGGAAGATTTGTGTGATCCAGGAGGCGCAAGGGAAAATGGAGCTGCTGAAAAATAAACCCTGTGCTCCAAAACACCTCCCACAGTGCGCTCCCATCTTCTGTTCTGACTCTCCTACTTGCCTGTGCAGTTTCTGAGAATCTGGCCACGTCAATACAATCAGACAACATTTTTTTGTTGCTGCCCAGAGTTGCATTGGTGAGATTGACAGCCATATAAATCGACAAACATTTCCCCCCTTTGCCCCAACCTCCACTGCAGGTTCTTAGGACCTGAGGGCATCTCTTTCAAAGTTTCAAACTCATTCCTCCACAACTAGATGGAATCTATGAGACTAATCCTTATTTTCTCCACAGAGATTACAATAGGATAAATTTTACTGGTTTGGGAACGGATCATCAGGCCAATTCCCACACTGCCTCAATAAAATATTATGCCAGTGTTTCTCAACCTCAGCAACTTTAAGATGTGTGGACTTCAACTCCCAGAATTCCCTAGCATGCGGGGGAGTTGAAGTCCACACATCTTAAAGCACTGGATTATACCAAGCAAATAGGCCTACCATAAACTCCAAAGAAAAAATGGTGGTTAAAGGGGTCATTTGGGAGTTTATATGGCTTGCTAGTTGTAATGTGCTAAGCAGACCTAGAAAAGATGCTTGGTCTGAATCACTACACTGTAGTTTTGTGCAAAATAAGT